ATATATTATTTTCATATATTTACTGAGTCGTCGCCATCATAACGCATTCTAGTGGCTTAGTCAAAAATTGTCTTCGGTTTTTAAATGTCATTCTTTACGCGGGATTTCGCAATACTCGTACTCGCGGGTTTCATAATTTTCCCGCTGACCAAAATTACTGTTTACTCTTACCCTCGACGAACGCCTTCGATATGGCGTCACCCATATTTCAACACGATCTCGTTCCCGAATGAAGGATTATCATAACTTCCCAAATGTGTCAAAAGGAAGTATAATCATTCAACATCGAAATGACCATACATATATCTTATTAGACGTTTTGTTGTGTAGTATCGCTGATTATTATCCAACTACACTTCGTAGAGTACAAATAACGCCACAGACCAGTACAAATATCACGCGGTATTTGTACTCGTCTATGGTAGAGTACCGGTTAAACAGGTTTTCTCGCATCCCGCACGCGAAGAATTGGATTGTAGTTACGAAAAAAAATGCGGACAATTTGAATCATATTTCCGACAACGAAGAGTCAGAATGGCTGGCAAATATAGATCAAAGTTTATTAGATAAATCGAACGAAGAAAAACTGCTTGACGACCAGAAAATCTCTTCATTTAATAAAGAAAATAGAAACAGCAACGGGCGAATCAAAATACAAACAACGATACTGCACAACAAAACGTCTAAAAAGATATATGTATTTTTACGAGTTGTGCTGTATTTTAACGAGCCCATAGGGTGAGTCAAAATACAAATAACGAGTAAAAATACTCAGCGATACTATACAACAGAACGTCTAATAAGTTATTTATTATCCAACACGCCAAACTGTTGTTTCAGCGGGCGAATTTCACGGATATTTATTTACGGGGAGTGCGTGACAGGAGTATGCGAAGCGGAACGGAATTGGCGCGTTCTTGTGTTGCTGTTTCTATTTTCTTCATAAAATGAAGCAATTTTCTGGTCGTCAAGCTGATTTTATTCGTTCAATTCATCTAATAAGCTTGGATCTATATTTGCCAGCCATTTTGACTCTTCGGCGTCGGAAATATGATTCAAATTGTCCGTCACTTTTTTTTTTTCGTAACTGCAATCCAATTCTTCGCTGGCGGGATGGGAGAAAACCTGTTTAACCGGTACTCTACAATAGACGAGTACAACAAGTCGTATACAAAACAAGTCTTACATATCCATACACAAGTATTTTTGTCCGCTTCGGCGCGCCATAGGAAACATCCTTCTTCTTGTCTAGCGAACTGCTTATTAGTCTGCAACTCCGTAAACCAAAGAGATGCGTGGCCTAGTCTGAGCTTACAGCCATCGCCCGAAACACGAACTACTGGTTTCACGCTACGCCGCCATGTTAATTTCCGAAGAGTTTACAGTACGGTCGGGAGATGACATCACTACGATGATCGGAAAGTGCTAATCGTTCGGGTCTACTTCACGAAACGACAGTTTTTCCATTACGCATCGCGGTCGTAGGCCGCACACCACCTGACCAGGCCGAGCCCCCTCTCATGGTAGCAACCCATAATGCATCGTCTAGCGCAAATATCCCGTTGTTCCTTCCGGTTCCTTAGCTGTTCAAAAAATCATGGCTCTGCACATTTCAGAGGCGGACGAGGCAATAATGTCAACACTAACCAACTTCTAAACCCATAAACGTTTGACATCATGTACTTCGATCAGGGTGAAGAAAGAGAACTGAAAGTTTCTGTCATGTTGAAACGAGCTCAAGGAAGAAAGAAAGTCCTGACGTCTGTAAACTGGAAAGAGAGAGTTTTTGTGTTAACGCCTAAAACTCTTAACTATTTTGAAGGCAGTTCTGAGGTAAAATAAGGGTATACTTTTCATATGTTACCTTTTTAAACTAAGAACAGTATTATAGTTAGTTTACGTAACTCGTGATACTATTTTCTTGTATTTTCGATTGGATAACAAAACGCTTCCTGTTTGCTACTAATGCAACTCAATGTTATAACGGGAACCTTCATTCGAGGCTCTAAAGGTATTTGTGTTTACTATAAGGTGAAAAATCGCACACTTTATCTTCAAAATTCATCATCAATAATCAGCAATGAGTGCGTCAAATCAATCAAATTAATGTTTATATCGAGAGTGTATCCATGAAGTATTACGATATATTGATTTAATTTAGATTCATCATCTCTTTCATTATTGATGCGAATCCCCATGATTAGAATTTTATTAGAGAAAAGAAAGTATGTAACGTATCACACTGGCTACCTCATAAGCCAAGACTATTTTTAAGGAAGAGAGAGATACCATCTTTGAATTCTTAACTTCAAGATAAACATGTATTCTGTTTTGACAAAGACATCTAAAATTTATCAGTTTTCTGTCGGTCAAACCGTTAGGCACTTAACAGCAATGTGCCATAACAATGTAAGTAATATTTTAAAGGATATGTTATTTTAAAATTTCTGGTTTTGCACTTTAACGAGAGAAACTGAATTAGTACTAAAAAACTCTAACAGTAAAGAGAAAGTTCAGATCTTAGAGAGGGTCTTTTTAAAAAAATGTCAGTCAAGAAGTATTCTTTGTGCTCTTGAGTGTCACGTGTCTCTGAGATAAGTGTGTGTGATAGTAACAATAGAATTCAAGTCTTGACCCAATTTTGACCTTATGTTTGCCAGTGCTACTTATTGTTTGTTTGTGATTATCTTAGAAATTTGGCATTTGCACTTGATACACAATTCTGTTCTCTCCTTTTGTGATTTCTTCTGTGATTTTGTAACACATCATGTTATCATCCTTGTTTTTATTGTGGCTGCTGCCTGCTATGTATGGGGCTCGAAATTAAAAAATCCCTAGTTGCCTTTTGGTGACTATCAGAGAAAAAATGGTCACCAAATGCAAAGATGCAGTCACCAGATAGTACAAGAACAGAAAATCAGATTAGAGCCTTCTTTAATTGGCATAGTTGTTTGGCTTCTGGTAGATTGTGGCTGTGGTTGTGGGATGTGAAGCTCCAAAGACTTTTGCATGACAACCTTACCTTAAGCAGTAAGCAAAAAAAGTAATAACAACATTTCAGGGTTACTTCAGCAAGGATAATCTGTCACATTGCATGCAAGAAATCGTACAATACAAAGGCATGAAACATTTATCAAACATGGCGGATAGCTATTTAGTATCAGACCTCCTGTTCTCAATGTAAATCTGCTGGTCGGATTACACTGAGTTATTAGAGCGTGTTTTCGCTGGAAAAATTAATTACTCTTGAATTGAGGCCAGGAGTTTTGGCTTGTTTTGTTTGTTTTAGTTTTTCACAGGAAATTGACAACACAATCAACGGTTGGTTTATAGAGAAAAACGAATACTAAGTTTCAGGTTTTTTTAATGTTCCAAATTTATTCATAGTCACCAAAATGGAGACTAAACTCAAATTTTAAGTCACCAAGTTCAAATTTTTAGTCGCATTGATGACTGTATCGGTCACAATTTCGAGCCCTGTATGTAAGAGGTGAAGCATGGGAGGGGAACCATGGGGCTTTTAAGCCAGTCCCTTTTAATTATTATTATATTTCAAGTAAGTCAGGGCTCAACACTAACTTTTCAACTTACTAGCCAAGTGGCTAGTGACTTCTTAGATTTTACGACAATTTCAGTTTATTTACTAGCCAAACTGGCTAGTGCAAATCGAAAACCACTAGCCAAAACTGAATCTTCGAGTCTGAGGCTACTGGGCTACCATTAGTGTCGAGCCCTGTAAGTACTTTGATCATTATTATCATTATTATTGTTGCTATTATTATTATTAGTATTTGGTACAATGAATATATGAAAGGTCATATATTTTGAACTGCGGTATTAGATACATATGATGCACGATCCTCGCAGTAGAGAGCGCTATTTATGCAATAGCAAAAATCAGGCCTGTGTTGGTAGAGCGTTGCACTAGTATCGCAGAGGTCAGTGGTTCGAAACCCGTACAGGCCTGATTTTTTCAGGTCTTATTTTCGCTATTGCATAAATAGCGCTCTCTACTGTGAGGATCGTGCATCATACGTATCTACTACCGCATTTCAAAATATATGAACTTTCATATATTCATTGTCTCTGATTTATCATCACAGGTTTATTACGAATCAACTTAAGGGCCTGCTCCCAGTTGGCTTGTTAGCTCAATTGATAGAGCGCTGCACTAGTATCGCAGAGGTCAGTGGTTCGAAACCCGTACAGGCCTGATTTTTTTCAGGTCTGATTTTCGCTATTGCATATATAGCGCTCTCTACTGCGAGGATCGTGCATCGTACGTATCTAATACCACAGTTCAAAATATATGACCTTTCATATATTCATTGTATCTGATTTATCATCACGGGTTTATTACGAATCAACATAATGGCCTGCTCCCAGTTGGCTTGTTAGCTCAATTGGTAGAGCGCTGCACTAGTATCGCAGAGGTCAGTGGTTCGAATCCCGTACAGGCCTGATTTTTTTCAGGTCTGATTTTCGCTATTGCATATATAGCGCTCTCTACTGCGAGGATCGTGCATCGTACGTATCTAATACCACAGTTCAAAATATATGACCTTTCATATATTCATTGTAAGTAAA